AATTTCGCGCAAAGCTATACGAGGGCTATCTACGCTAGCCATCCCTAACTTAGCAGTGAAAGAGTAAAGGGAAGGCAGCTAGTCATAACCGCCCACCGCCAACTCTTAGGCTACTTTTTTACCAAGGAATAGGGGGATCGATCGTCAAATTATAACGCCTGCTCGGCTGAAACAGCGAGAATGTTTGGAGGGACGGGGATTCGAACCTGCGACCCGCAGACTGCGAGTCGAGCGTCCTAACCACCTGGCCATGCCGGCCAAAGATTTAGTAACATTGCATTTCTTGGTGTCACTAGTTTTGCAATAAGCCAATGATAACTTTTCAAATCTTGCACATTATTTTTATTTATTTATATATTGTATTGAAGTGTATAACTAATTTAAAAAACAAATGTGCTCACGTACATAATTATGACAACAAATTTCAAATTTATAAATCAAAGATGATAATATGGAAAGAAGCAATGCACTTAAATTACAGGCGAGGCGAAACAGTGCTCGTTTGTAATGTTAAAACTGAATATTATCACCACGTGGGCAGAGTTGGGCAATTTAAAATATCTAACATTCGAGGACAAACCACAATGTTTGTATTTACACGTACGTAACAATCCCTGGTGTGATTTTTGGTGGGAGAAACATTAAGGATAAAAACTGAGATCAGTAATTCACGGGCAGCGGTGATTGTAATTTAATAATGGTTTAAAACAACCAGAAATCCCAGCCGGTGGCTCAGCGGTAAGTTTGACGAATTATAACGCTAAAATTCGTGGTCTGATCTCGGCGGTGAATATAACTCACTTAGCTGATTGTGAAGTCTCGCGCGAAAGACAAAGAAACAAGCAAAAATATGCACATTTGTACGATTCCTGTAGGTAAATATATGTGTTTCATAAAACATACAATTTTATTAAAACTTTGGATAAAATATTGTTAATCTAATCATTCAGAAGTTGTGAGTATCATATAAGATGCTTCCACAAGTAATCGGTCAATAAACGAGATATGTGAGACAAACACTCAGATGTATGTGATTGTGTCGCTAAAAAATTAAAATTTATGAAAAGGAAAGAAGAACGAGCCAGAAGAAAGCGATATAAAACATTTAATTTATTTAGAAATGAGCGTTACCGGCAAACGAACACAAAGGTGTTGAAATTTTCAAAATAAAAACACAAAAAATAAGCAAACCAAATATAGCTCGCGTTGCCTTTGTGTGAGAGTTCAGAGCTGTTGAGCCGGATTCGAATCCGTGCGAGTCATGTGTGAGAGGTCTAGATTTGAGGGCTTGTGAGCCGTATTATAATCCGTGCGAGTCGAGTCCTGTATGAGAGTTCTGGATTTCAGGGCTGGTGAGTCGGATTCGAATCAGGACGAGTCCTGTTTGAGAGCTCTGAATTTCAGGGCTGGTGAGCCGGATTCGAATCCGTGCGAGTCCTGTATGAGAGCTCTAGATTTGAGGGCTTGTGAGCCGGATTATAATCCGTGCAAGTGCTGTGTGATAACTCTGGATTTTAATGCTAACGAGCGGGGTTCAAATTCGAGCGATACCACAAAATATTTGTCTGCATTTCAAGCTGTGGGTGCGTTATAAGAATGGTAGTAAACCTCCAAGTGTGGAAGGTGGGTGTTAGGTTACTGCCTTCTGGTTGTCGTCTATCTGGTCAGCATTTCAAAATTTGGGATGGCGACAGATAGCCATAGCAGCTTTGCCATAAATTCAAAATACAAATATAAACCAAAGAAATAATAAAACAACAAAAATATTTTAATCCTTTGATTACCAATATTGGTATATCATGTTAAACTATATGTTTTAGTAACAAGGGTATATTAATTAATAGTTAATTATTAGATAGTTTTTCCACTTATTACACATGAATTACTAGTCAAACTGGATTAATGTTACAAGTTCGGTACATGAGGACCTTTAATCTTTTTGATTTGCATCAATGGCATAGATGAAGAAATGGTCAATAAGGAACTTAAATTTGCTGATGATATCAAGGTCTTGGGTGCTGCTGGCCTGAGGACAATGCTGTTGCTTTACAAAAGGATTTGGGTCATTTAGTAAATTGGGAGAATGAATGGCAGATTGGTTTCAATTATAATAAATGCAAGATAATGCAAGTGGGTTATCATAATCTGAATTATAAGTATATCTTCGATGGGAATAACCTTATCAGTATTATGGAAGAAAATGATCTTGGTGCAGTGATTGATCAGTCTCTTCAGCCATCCATGCAGTGTGCTGTTGTTAGTGGTAGGAAAAATAGAATTTTAGGTTGTATGTACAGAAATATTGAATACAAGTCTAAAGAGTTTATAGTCATATTGTTTAGGTTACTGGTTAGGCCACCACATTTGGAGTATTGTGTTCAGTCTTGGGCTCCTTACCTTAGGAAGGACAGTGAATTGTTGGAAAAGGTTCAGGGGAGAACTACTAGGACAGTAACTGAGATGGACGCCACCTTAGATTTCTCTGTTGTTTTGTCTTATGCCAATTTGGCATCTCGCGAATTCTTAATCTACAGATCATGGCAAACGTTTTGATATATCGCATCTTTTGTGCTATTTTATAAACTACTACTATGCCAACCATGCTCTGAGATTTGCTGTTGTATACAACACATCATTTTTTATCATATATATAAATGTAACATAATTTTTTTATAATGTTTGTTTGTTTGTTAATTTGCATAGTATTTTCAAGTCTTATTTCGAAACGCACTTTATTTTAAATATATTTTTTGAATAAGGTAGAGATTAGCCCTGTGGCAGTGCTTTAGATTTTGGAGCTAGCGAGCCGAGTTCAAGCTCGTGCGATTCCTCGAAATATTTCCCCAATTTAAGCTATTGTGCGTAATAGGAGTGGCAGTCGACCCTTTAACATGAATCGTACGTGGTAAGGTGCTGTTAACTGGCTATCTTCACTCTAGTCAGTAGTTCACAATTAGGGACGGAGATAGTTAGCCTTGGCAGCTTTGCCATAAATACAAATACTATGTGAATATTAAAACCCACTGTATCTAGATTTAAGGAGAACAGCAAACATTGATTTCTTTGTTCCTTAGACGGGTGTATAAAAAGCATAAAACATTACATAGGTTACCATGATGGTAACAATGAAGAGGCTGACTTCACTTTCTTCCTGGCTCTTTTTAGTTCAATGAAAATAATTTAATATCTAAAACAAAAACAAAAATCTACCTTGTGGCTTTACTAGTATGAAGCACCATATACACAACTTATTCTGTAGTTTCACAAAACTTATTGCAACATTTCTATATTTCATTGGTAATTAGAATTCACTTGTGTTTTATGTTTGAAGTTATTATGGTTATAATGACATTCTTCAGCTGAGTGTATTATTTTTGTATGTTAAATTTTTATTCTTCATTTATTAATATTAAGTATGTTTTATTGATTTGATTGACCTACAATGTCTCTAGAGGTTTACCGAAAAGCCAAATATTATAGTTAAGTTTATTTCTTCCTCGTAAATATATTAGTATTAACTTTTGGGAAGTTTAATTTTTTAGTTTACAAAATGCTTTAGAAATTCGTTATATTCAGTAAATCTATCAGCTTACAGGTCTCAAAAAAACACGAAAATGTCCGTTTTTAAAAAATTAAGAACTAATTATCCCCCAGAG